TTGGTATACCTTCACGACGCGATATTTTAGCCAATTCACGGAAAATGACCGAGCTAGAGGAATCAGTACTTGTTCAACATATCCTCGACCTAGCTACAAAAGGATTTCCTCCGCGGATATCTGTAATTGAAGATATAGCAAATCGACTTCTTGAAGCACGCGACGCGCCACGCGTCGGGACGCGTTGGGCTTATAACTTTGTTAAGCGCCGCCCAGAACTCCAGACACGCTTCCAACGAAAATACGACTATCAGAGAGCTAAGTGCGAAGATCCAGAAGTCATTCGTGGCTGGTTTGAGCTTGTACGAAACACAATAGCGAAGTACGGAATCTACGATGCAGATATCTACAACTTTGACGAGACTGGGTTTATGATGGGCGTTATCTCAACTGCAATGGTTATTACAAGCTCAGAAGGACGTGTAAAAGCAAAAAGAGTACAGCCTGGTAATCGGGAATGGGTTACAGTAATCCAGGGGGTTAATGCCCAAGGCTGGTGTGTTCCACCGTTTGTGATTGTTGCCGCAAAAAATCACCTCGCTTCTTGGTACCAAAACAGTGGATTTCCACCTAACTGGGTGATTGCTATTACTGAAAATGGTTGGACAACAAATGAGAAAGGCATGGATTGGATTCGACATTTTGAGAAGCATACAAAGTCCCAATCTATTGGTGGTTATCGTCTATTAGTCCTCGACGGCCATGAAAGCCACCACTCCGACGAATTTGAGGAATATTGCAAGGAAAACAACATTATCACTCTTTGTATGCCTGCTCATTCTTCTCATATACTCCAGCCACTCGACGTTGGCTGTTTTAGCCCTTTGAAAAGGGCATATGGTCAGCAAATTGAAGATATGATGCGGGCTCCGATCATCCATATTACTAAGGATGATTTCTTTCCTGCCTTCCACGCCGCATTTAATATTGCAATGACAGAAAGCAATATCCGAGGAGGGTTCCGAGGGGCTGGGCTTCTTCCATTTGACCCAGAAAGTGTAATTTCTACACTTGATCTTAAGCTAAAGACGCCAACGCCTCCAAACTCCCCCCCGTATTCCGCTCAGCCTTGGGTTTCCCAGACACCAAATAACCCTACTGAAGCCTTATCACAGACTGCATTTATTAAAGATCGAATTTTACGCCACCAAAGTAGCTCTCCAACCCCTATTTACGAGGCCATTGACCAGTTTACGAAGGGTGCATCAAAAGTAATGCACCAGATAGTACTATTGAAAGCTGAGAACCAGAGACTTCGACAAGCAAATGAAGTACTAAGTAAGCGCCGTAGAGCTAAAAAAACACGCCTACAGCAAGGAGGATCACTTAGTCAACAGGAAGCGCAGGACCTACAGGATGATAGAGACGTTGGTGAGCAGGTAATGCAGGAAATAAAGAGAAGTAGTGGTCGGAAGCCGAGGGAAGAATCACGTGCACGGCGCTGTGGCAACTGCGGAGAGACTGGTCATAATACGCGCACCTGTAATATTATAGAGGAAGTATCTGAGGAAGAAATTTCTGAATAGTGTTTTTTAATTAGAGGCGTTGTGGTAGAGTTCTTACAATTTCAATCGCGAGTGTAGAAAATTTTGGTCGGTTCGCTTGTTTGGCCGGTTCGCTATATATGCACGTTAAAGGTATATTAAAAAGTAATAAAGGGGGGAGGAGACTTAAGCTATTTAGACCCTTTACCTCTATAAAATACCTACCTAGGACCTACTCTTCTATGTACCTATATACCTTTATACTATAAAAAGACTATTACTTACGTAGTAAAAAGGCTATTACTGTCACGAATCACGTGCTCACGTGATACTTGTCATAATAAAGAGGCGCAACCCTCGACAGGCACATCCAGGTTTCTTATAGCAAATAGGGATGCTTAGACTAGCTAAGCGATCCAGGGATTTCCTTCGTATCTTATCACGTGACTAGTTGGATCGACTGGACCGACCAGCGGTCCTGGCAAAGTACAGGAAAGTGAAGGGTCTATATAAGACTGGCACGTCTGCCATTAGATAGGAGCTTCGTGCTCAACTTAGTTACCAACTTAGTTATCAATCTTATCATATTAGTTTGACATCTTTGATACAAGTAACGAGTTCACTTCCAAGTGAACAACCCGATAGTCTTCTTCTTATCATAGCATACCAACCAGCGAACACCCAGCCAAGTTTAGTTAGCCAGTTTGAGTATTCGTTACATCCCTACCCCCTATCTATCTCCTCCTTATCTAGCTTATTTATTCTATATTATATTATCCCCTTATCTTCTAATATTTATTTTAAACTAGTAATACTAATACTAGGATCTATACCTATTTTATCTTATTTATTTTTTTTCTAAAACGAAATCTAATAAATTACCTAGCTAGCCCTAGATTTGAAAATCCTAGATAGGAACCTTAATATCTCGATATAACTTATAATTTAAATCAAGCTCCTAAATCAAATCATTATACTATCTCTATCTCTATCTAGATACCAACTTTCATAGTACTAGAAATATCAAGAACCACCCTTCTATTCCCAAGTTCCTACGTACGCGTCGAAGATAGTACTACCATTTAAGCCTAGAATAAGCTTAGATCCTCAAATAAAGGAAGAATTCCTACACAACAATAACAATAACAATAACAATAACAATAACATGAGAACCCTAGTATCATTCCCCCTCGCTAGACCGGTGAGTTCCTAAATACTATATCTTATATCCTATCCTTTGTAAACGTTAGGGAACTAACCCCCCCTTTACAAAATCTATTTATTTAATTTTCACCCCAAAAACCCTCCCTTACACTCCCTTACACTCCCTCGTAACCCTAAAAATCCACTATAACCTCATAATACAAACCACGCCAAACCAAACCAAACCAAGCTAGCCAGCTAGTAAATCCCACATCCCACCCTTTCACCCCTTCACCCACTTAGCCAAACCCAAATATCTTCAGGTTTAGGTACTAAAAGAGCTTTTAGGAATAAGGACATAAACATACACACACACACACACACCTACCATATACACACACATATATACCTATCACTCACTCGCTTACAAGTTCACAAGTTCATAACATGTAATTCCACTCATGAGTCATTTAAAACGAATCGAATCGAAACGAATCGGTACACAACATAACATAACATGATATAATATTCCTTAACTTTACTTTCCATAAATTCACTATTATAATCATTATCATAAATACGCTCAGCATATATATAAACAAACACCACATAAACACTATACCAGACCAGACCAGTACGATACAGTAAGGTATACTACAACATAGTATATAAACACCAGACTAGTACAGTATCGGTCTATTTATCTAGGAACAATTTTAAATTTTAAATTTTAAATTTTTGATTAGACTTATATAGATGTTAAATTTAAATTTTCAATCAGACATATATAAATATCAAAATATATCATATTATATTATATAAAAACCCTACTCGCTCGTACTAATTAAGATTTAATCTACCTCACTCGAGTATTTGATTTTAAATTTCACTGTATACTATACACATTTTCCCTTTAGATCCTCATCTCCTCATCTTAAACAAGCCACCTCCAATCTACCAAAAGACCCTCATCACTCTATCCACCCACCCATCCATCATCCATCCATCCACCTATAAAAAAATCCCCCCCCTCCTATCCCTCCATCATCCCTCTATCTACCCATCCATCTACCTACCACCTATCTCTCATCTCTAAATTTCATAGCGTTATACCTAATTATATACCTAATTATATACCTACTACTAAAACTATAACAACATAACATATCTATCTAGTCGATCGCGACGTCGAGACTCCTACTAAGTAAGTAAGTATTTTATCATTTTATCTAGACTATTTATTTAGGTGATTTAGATGATTTAGGATTATGAGGAATATTAATGGTGATGTTGATGTTGATGTAGAGGGAGATGGATGGTGTAGTATAGTAAGATGAGGGAGGGAGGGAGGGAG